AAAATTGTTTGGAATCGACACTCGACAGCGCACTTTTTTGTCTTCACGACTACCTGTTTGTTGAGCCAAAATATTGCACAGAATCTCCTATAATAAATTATAGCTATCGCCATTCACCCTCCCACCCTGAATGCAAAGGAATGATATCCGAAAAGATTTAGCAAAGTATTTGTTATTATATCTGGTACGAAGTGTCCCTATACGTTTTATCAGGGATATATATTTATATATACATAATTCGTAAACTGTATATGCGCACCAAGTCTCGCTCATAGAATTACTTAATGAGTTTTATTAAGCCTTTTAAAGTTTCTATTGATACTGATACTGATAGATAGGTTGTTTGCTTACAGTTACGAAGTATCGTTTGGTGAAACTTCTAAAATTTCAATTACAGTTACGACACAGTATAGGGGTATATACGATAAAGATTAAAGACTTAAAGTTGATTTAAATATTGATGACTCGCAGCGGCATTATACAAGTCGAAAGAAGCTGGATTTTAAGTTGGATTATTCTTCAAATAATGCCTGGGCATTAATACCAATGCCAATGAAAGGTCTTTATAAGATTTATAATGTTTACTGCAATATATGAAATATGAAATAATTTAGTCTAGTGCATATATCGTCCTAGATATTCAAGTTGTACCGCACACACCGAGGAGTCTTGGCGTGTGATAACAGTATACTGTAGCTGTACTTCGACATATATCATTCTTGATCGTTAAGCTGTTTCAGCAATGTAAATAAAAGGAATTTTACATAACGGGTTTTAATCCTGTGCTTAATTCACAGTCAAAACAGACTAAACAGCACTATTGTTTTATATACACAGTTGGCGATGTTCAGTACTTCAGTTGGGAAATCAAAAGATCCAGTTATAAAATAAATCCTTTGTTTTGAATATCGGACAGGATACATTTCAACTATAAACAACCATATCATATCGTTCGTTTTATATAAATACCGTTTGATCAATCAGTCGGTGTAGAAGATATCAGATATGTATGTTTATACGGCGATCTGATGCGTGCTCACTAGCCAGGCGCGTGTGGAGTATATTTTTCCTTGCAAGTGAAATATGATCCAGCTTCTCGCTTGAAATGTACCGCAGCACTTATTATTGATGACATTCAATATAGCAGGAAATCTTGTCATGATGAGTACGAATTTAGAACAGTATAAATCATGTTTATTAATACATGTAAAGTGAAAAAGTGAAGTATACAGCACTAATGCATCTGGCGAATGTCAACTACTACATTCCCACCCCTCCCAGATTGACAAAACAACGCTAATTAAAAATCTGCTAGATTTTAGCAGATCACGTGACCAGCGTCCACCAGGGTCTTTGCTTCCCAAGAGCAAATACCCTGGGAACGAGGTTGATCAATCCATTGTTCTAATCTCGTTTTTTTCTCCCTGTCTCCTCCACATAACTCGCGGAAAGCCTGGTACCGACAGAATTAGTATGCTGCCTCTACGAGGCAGCAATAAAGCATGTCTACTTGAAAGATATATATAAAAGCGCAGCAAATTACTTTGAAGCATTAAGATATTAGGCTACAAAAAAACTGACAATTTACTATGGGATTATCATAAATATTCCATATTCACACATCTGAGATGATTAATTTTGTTACGAAACATTATTACTTATACATAAAATTTTAGGTTAAAAATAAAATAACACAAAGATTTTTGCTTGAGAGCAGCTTAAATGCTCGTGCAAGTAAATATTACTAAAAGCCTAATGAGGGGAGATAATGGATATTTGGGCACATGTCAAAATAAAGTAAATATCGATTATTTTCTTCCATTAGACTGTGGCAGTTTGTTGAACTAGCTGTCATTGTGCATATGAAGATGTCATGTTTAATTGACCTGATTCCTACAGTTTATCTTGTGGGCATATCTGTTTAAACAGAGCAGCTGCCATGGGGTCTCATTAACATTGACCTTTCACGTGGACAGACTCAGGCGTAATAATGAGTCATCCCAAGCTAGATAACACTCGGTCATGCAATTAAAATATTACGTCATCAGAATCTTAGTTCAATAAAATTACGAGTAAATTTAGTCTTGTAGGTAAAGTTATGTTCACATAGATATAGTTCGAAGTTTTTACTATAAGACCTGCATAAGTATTTAAAGTTGTGAACCTGTTTTGGCATTGATCGATTTAACGGCGAACCGACTCGACAAGTGTGACAACGCCTTAAATAAACAGAATGTGAGAGCTGGAACGAGCTAACAACGCCAACCTACACTTTCAAAACTCAACGTTGATTCGCTGGATACGGATCACACCACTTGTTAGATCACGTGTACAAGGATTCCCTCAACCGTTAGTATAAAAGAGCGTGCACAATCGAAAGTCGACAGTGGACGTATGCTGAATAAAACTTAACTGATGAAAAGTTGCAGAAACTCAAACGAAACAACGAACGACGAAGAAATTAACGAACATATCACGAACGGTGAAAACCTGCTCAAGGCTGAAGTGAACTTAGAAAACTACTCCACGAAGACGAACATTAAGAACTGATAGTCATTAGAGATTGATTGTAACGATTCACTACCTAAATAAAGCCTCGTAACAATTTTATCAATGACGAAAATCAATAACAAAAACATTATCTTATAGCCTAATAAAATAAATTTTCCTAATCATATATTTCGTCTATTTCTATTTACAGACACGAACAACAAAGACGCAAACAACAATCAGTTACGACCAATGCCCAGTCAAGGTAGATTTTATGTACACGTCTTCTTATATATTCTAAAATTATCACTTGCTTACTCGCTTTATTATTAGCATGACAAAATTACTGGATGCTGATTGGTTGAGAGGAGTACAATTATTTCATTAATTGTACTGCAGTACAATTAATGATTTTCCCAAAACAAACAAAATGGCGGAAACGTATTTTAAACACAAGCGTGAAA